CCCCGCCCGGAAGCCGCCCGCCGCCGCCGCCGCCGCGGAGTTGCGCGAAGTAGTCATGGGGCCGGGGCCGAACCCGCGGCCGGGCAGCGGCTGGACCCTCGGCGAGGGCTTCTGCTGGCTGCTGCTGCTGCCCGCGACGCTGCTGCTCGTCGCCCGCCCCGGGAAGCTCGCCGCCTTCCCTACCTCCCTGAGCGACTGCCAGACGCCCACCGGCTGGAACTGCTCCGGTGAGTGCGGGACCCCGGCCACGACCGCAGCCGCGCCGCCGTGCGCCCCGCGCCCGCCTCAGCTGCCCGGCACCGCAGACCCCGACCCTTCCCGGCCGACCCTTCCCGGCTGCCGGGATCCTGATCTTTCCCGCCGAGCCCAAACCCCCATCTTTCCCGGCCGCCGGGACCTTGCTCCTTCCCAGCCAGCCGAGAGGCGAAGGTGCGGGAGCGGGCGGCGGGGGCGCAGGGCCGCGCTGGGGACCCAGTGCCGGGGTGCGGAGCCAGAGATGCTGCCACTTGGCTGGGAGTGGCGAGGATTTGGGAACATGTTCAGCGGGATGGTTTTCCAGGTTGGCTGAGAGAGCACCAGTCCTAGAAGGTCCGGCTAGGATAAGCGAGAAATAACTTTAGGCGAAAGAGCAGGAGAGCAAACAGTAAATCGAATGGAAACTGCAGAGGAATCGTGGGTTCCTGGCGAAAAGTGCCGCGAGGGTGCGAAGGTCTCGCTGTCAGAAAGCCCAGCTCACACGGAGCGTAGGGCAGTAGACTGCAGGAGGACCCGTTTCTCCCTTTTTCTTTTTCTCCCTCTCCCTGGCTCCCTCGTTCTGCGACTTGAGCGAGGGTGATGGTGCAGCCAGACACCCTCTCCTGCCTCCGGGGCTCCTAGGAGGAGGGTGGGTGGAGGTGGAGCCTTCCGTCCCTGAGGCCGGCGCTGGCCCCGGGATTTGGGGGAGAGATTCAGGCGCCCCCTTGGCCCGCTCGGGTCCCTTCGGAGTCGGAAGGCAGGAGTGTGGCCGGGCTTCACTCTGCGGAAGCCTCCCAATTAAACAGGGCCGGAGGGTGGGAGTTGCTGCGCCCTGTCTCCCGGTTTCGCTTTTCAGTGACTCCCAGTAGTACACCGGCAGGATTGCGGCGTGCTTTTCTTGGCGTTTGCAACTCCCTTAGCACGCCTGGATACTGTCCTCAAGCTTTGGTCTGTTCCACTTTCTGCAAGCGTGTATATTTTTTTTCTTTTTCTGTAAATGTAATTCTGCTACAGTTCAATTGGGCTTTCAATGAAGTGGCTTTCGGAGACGCCTGTGAGCCCAAGAGCCCGCGACTTTGGGGAAGTGGGGGTGCCTGCCACTGGCAGAGGCAAGAATATATAGTTCCGAGTTATTACCAATGTAAAATGCCAAGAGGAAAATTATTATGCCTCACTCTGATTTTTCCTTTTTAAAACAACTTGAGATTTACAACCCTGTGAGATTTGGGTCAGTGAATTTGTTCTGCTTTTGATAATTTCTGAATTTGACGTTCTTGTGAAACTGGCTGTTATTTTACATATTCTTGGTTCATGCACGCGTGTGTGCTGTTTTTTAAAGACTAAGTTCTACTTTGCAGATATCTAATTTACTTTTTAGGTGTTATAAGGATATCAAATGATCTCTCAAATCACTTGTTTCAAATGTTGATGGCTTTTCAGTCCTACATGACTGATGTGTTTCACCCCCTTAAACGTAGTATTGTTTTAGGGAATAAATAACTTCAGTGTGAAACTGACATTGTCAGTTAGGCAATTCATTATTAGCTGTACGTCTTAAAGAGATCTGCACAAATTGAAAGGAATGAATAGTTTTTCAGGCAGATTGTCAAGAACTTGCCCCCCCCCTTCCCCCTGATAACTTCGGTGATCAATCTTCATTTGTGCCAGACAGACCATGACAGAAAACACCGGGCTTGTTTATCTTTATTTTTGGGGTTTTGTTTCCTCTTTGGAGAAACCCCAAATAAGAGGTTGCTTCAGACCTTAAAACAAAAGAACGATTAAAGATGGAGAAGTGTTACAATGGCAAAGACTATCAGGAGATCTGTTCCAAAATATTAAGTTTTGGGGTCACAGATATCATTTTCTTAATGAGGAAAAATGAGCTAGGAGCATGTCTCAAACTTTCATTCATGGCTGTCAGCATGAACCCAAGATGAAATGAAACAGCATTATCAGAAGCAGATACTGAAGGGAATTGACAAAAGAAATGTGAGGAATAGAAATGAATATTGGTCATTTGACCAGATTTTTGAGGTTATCAGTAGAGAGACCTTGTAGAACATGTGGTTGTCGGAATTAAGATTTAGGACAGCTCTTTGGAGAGCTCAAGATTGTGTTTTTGTGCTAAACTCTGTCACATGTCTTTAAATGACTGGAGTGTTCTCTTTAAATTTGAGGTTATGATGATAGAGAAAATGATCTCTTCCTCTGTGACACCAACACCTGTAAATTCGATGGGGAGTGTTTAAGGATTGGAGACACTGTGACCTGCGTCTGCCAGTTCAAGGTAAGATGTCTTCTATTTGCATCTTCTAATTCATTAAAGAGAGTACAAAGCGAGTGTCTGCCTGTGCAGCCTATCACTTGGCAGTTCATAGCTGTGCAAGCTCGGGGGAAAGCTGGCACCAGGCAAATGCTGGCAGGAGAACCTGCTGATGTCAAGAAGACATATGCTTGTTGGAGAATTGTATATGCCAGAGTTATAAATGCTGTTGGAGGTAGAAGCTTGAGGTTGTGCCTTGGGGATGTGCAAGGGAAATCGTCTCTCCAACCCTTGCATACAGTTTGTCACCTGCTTGGATAGGATAGTAAGGATAATCAAGGGGCAACATGTGTGCATTTGTACTTTTGTTCTACTTGGCTAGAGCTCTGTCTTTTGATGTCATTCCTCTTTGTTTTGCTGGCTTTGTGTTTCATTATCGTGACAGTGTGATGGAGTTGTTAAATCACCTGTTATTAAGGTGACTCTAAAACTACTGTGCTCGTTGTGAAATCACAGCCCTTGTTAATGTAGGTTAATGTACTCCTGGCTCCCCCAGGCTGTGGAGGTAAGCCTACCACGAATCCATTTGACGTGTAGAGCCGCAAGCCCTTTCGTGAACACCAGAAAGATGCACTTGTGTTACGCAAGTTTGCAACAAAGAAGACGAGAAAGAGGCTGCAAACTAGATACAGTCGAACTAGGGTAGTAGTGTCTGCTAAAGATACGTCTTTCCGTATTGCTATGATAGCCACCATTTCACGCATGCTTCCTATCCTGTCAATTAAAAACTTCCTCTTTCACAGTATTTGTATAATCACATGTAATTTCCAATTACATAGATGTTGTGTTAGCGTACTGTATTCACCCTTGAGTATTATTGAATTACTACACAAGATATACTTGGGTAGGGCTGGGGAGATAGCTTGGTAGAATAAGTTCTTGCCTGGCAAGCGCAGGGTCCTGAGTTCAATCCCCGGTACTATTAAAAAAAAAAAAAAAAAAAAAAAAAAAAAAAAAAAAAAAAGATATACTTGGATAGCCAACATAAGACTCGCCCAGGAAATATTCGTATAAACAAAACTATATGTATGAAATCAGTAACAGTTCCCAAAAGTATAAGGAAGAACAAAGGTATAGACTAAGTTAAAACTCAGACTTATCCCTAGATATCTGGGATCATGAGTGATATTTAGAATTAGTAAATGTAAATATTTTAGATGGAATTTACTCTTTCAGTGAGACAGATAAGGACATTGATACTTAAATTTGATTTGAGTGACTTAGATGAGCTAAAACCTTCAAAGACATTCTTGTTTTCCTTGTAAGAAACAAAGCAGAGCTACTGATATTTGCAAAGTGCACCATCTCCTGGTGTTCAGGTGCTGCTATGACGGTACTGCAGTCCTTGCGACCATGTTACCGTGCTAGAAACATAGCACTGCATGCTTAGTGTGCATGCGACACCAAACTCCAAAGCCTCGACTGCACTGAACAGTGTAATTGTGTTCTTCCAATGAACTACGTTGGAGAAATAAATGGTGCAAGAGAACGCCCCCATTCATACTTTTTCCAAATGTTAATTAAAGGAAAGAATCCGATAAATCAGTAATTAGAGGCCCACAGGATTCCTTTAAATTTGTTGTTCTTGCAACCAATGATATAAGAAGTGAACTCATAAACCTTATAAAGTGAAGCAGCGAGGAAGCTCCTCACACGGACAGTCATGGTTCTGAGATTTCACCAGGGATGAAGGCTGGGGCAGGTCATAGAACTCCACAGGGCGGAAGGCCTCGACATGGAAATGTATAATTTTCATGGTCAAGGAATTGTGGGGCTGGCAAGCTAGCACAGTGGACTAAGCACCTGCTTAGGCAAGTGCGGGGACTGAGGTCCGATGCCAGGCACCCCTGGGTGTGCTAAGCCGGTCACTGAGACCAGGTGTGATGGCACATGCCTGTAATCCCAGCACCAACGAGGCTGGAAACAGGAGGAACACTGTGAGTCCAAGCTGTGTGGTAAGACTCTGTACCAGAATACACTAAAAAAAGGAAAAAAAATTATATTCAGTGTTGAGCTACAATAGAAGATTTGGGTAAAATTTTTATCAAAGAATAGTTAATTTTTTTATATATTGGACAATTATATTTATCATTAATTTAAATAGTTATTGAGTGGAGAAATCGGAGAGCAATTAATGCAAGGTCAAGTAGAAAATTGAAATGTGAATCTCCTATAATTGTTGAATTTTGCATTGACTATTGAATTCCTACTGTCATTCGTGTCTGTACTAGGATAGTTGTCAGTCTGGCATGAGGACATAAACACCTTCCTATTGGGCAGTGTGGACTTTGCATATGTGAAGAATACATAGGGCCAGGGAGATGGCTCAGTGGAATAAGCGCTTCCCTGGCAAGTGCAAGGGCCTGAGTTCGATCCCCAGTTTAAAAAAAAAA